ATCTATCTATCTATCTATCTATCTATCTATCTATCTATCTATCTATCTATCTGGGTCGGTGCAACAATAAATATACATTAAGGTACAATGTACAAGATTAAAATATATTAATAAAAGTGACTACAAATAAAAACAACTGTAATAGTGCAAAGCAGTAGCAAAAAAAAATATTGTGGAGTTAAGAATTAAAGTTAAATTTAAATAAGAACCATAAAACTGTAGCATTGTTTACAAGAATATGGAGGGTGCAGATATATTGATAATTACATACACATTTATCAAAAGAGTGCAACATGAAGGCATGGAGGTGCAACAGACACTGACTAAAAACTAAGTTAACTAAGAAAACAAGACAAAACAGAACGCATCAACACACCGTGACAGTCATCCTCGGCGCCATCTTGTTCTCTTAATGTTGAAATAGACAAAGTGCACAACTCCAACTTAAATAAACTTGCCCTTTGGAGAAAAGTTTATTTAATTGTGCATTGCAATATAACATAATTCTTCAGAACAGCTGTCACAAGACAGTTCCAGTGCTAGTTCCGTGCTCGTGCCTGACTTAGCACCAGTTCTTTGTGTTTCCACCGCCTAAGCACCAGCTCCAGCTTCTCAAAACTGGTGCTGAGCAAGAACCAGCTCTTTGCTGGGCCAGAGCTAAGCACCGAGTACGTCAAGGCCTGGGGGCGGGGTTATCATCACCAACGGGACCCACGAATGGGACACACAAGTGGTGGTTTGTGTCATTTTTCGCCAGGACGTCTCTGGTCCGATCACAAATGCATTGGAATGAGTCCCGGGACACACAGAGGTTTTACACAAACGCACCCTGAAATCCGGTACAACTGTGTCCCACCAGCAGCACCACAGTGTTGGAAACCAGCACTTTTATTACTTTGGTGTGCTGCGGTATTCACACTTAGAAATGTGGCCTTCTGGTGCGCTGTTTATTCCGCTCATAGAAAAGACCGCATGGAAAGAAATCACTCGGTTTCATCTTGGACAAATCTGGCATTAGAATGCCCCGGTTTACTCTTTTTAAAGTTATTTTTGGTCGCACACCGGTCTGAGCACCACGGCCACCAACAGCCTGCTATGTGAAGCAGGAACATCGTAAACTGTAGCGTCAATCGATAAGAAAATGTTCAGCAAGTCATATGTTTTGCCTATGACAAGGTGAGAAGTGCGAACAAATGAGAAAGTTGGTCACACCGGTAAAAAAGTCAGTCTGGAGTCCTGTGTGGACTTCCGTGTGACGCGAGCGTTGTTCGGTAAATGGCTACGTATGCAGTGACGTATGGCGTGGCTCTAATTGGCTCCATGGAAAAGTTGTTTGGAACCAACTAAGCACTGGAACTAGCACCAGCACAGAACTAGTACCTGGTGCTTCTTGGTGGAAAAGGGGTATTAGAGGCAGCTCTCTCAGCTGGCCCCAAGGTGGCGCTTGGATCCTCATTTCTTGCCGCACAAGTAGTCGTTGCACAGCGTAGTGATGCAGCACACCAGGGTGACGTACTCCGTGAAATCCACGAGGCCGTCGGAGTTTGAGTCCAGGTTGCTGTAGATTTTATCTATTCCTGCCTTGTCGGTGGATTTCTGTAGTTGAGGAAAGCAAACATGTGGACTCATGCATCATCCCATTTGTTAGGCGTTTATTTAAAGCTGTCGTTGTCCCTGATCATTAAACAGAGGAAAAATGTCACTCAGTCTAATCATGCTTGAATAAATACACACCATATTATAGCATTCGTACATTTACTACTCTTTTGGTACAAAACTCATGTGCAATAGGACGGTGTGTTCATACAGTCTCTATGCAGGACTCAGTATAACAAGGCCAGAGGACACTTACACCAATAAATCCCGCCAGTTCACTCTGAAGAAGGTCCTTCAGCTCCCCTTTAGTCAGGGTGCTGGCATCTCCCTCCTTGCCGGAGTATTTATGAAAGGCTTTGATGAGGAGGTTCATCGCTGACTNTGGACTTGTGGGAGGAAGCCGGAGAACCCGGAGAGAACTCACGCTGCACGGGGAGAACATGGAGACTCCACGCAGAAAGATCCCGGTGCCCCCACCAGGACACGAACCGGCGACCTTCTTGCTGCGAGGCAACAGTGCTAACCAACTGCACCACCTTGCAGCCCAGCTCAATGAACATCTAAAAAAAATAGAAAGCTGCACACTGTAAGGAAAATTCAAGGCTACATACATGAGTCTGTAGATGTAAGATCACTGATGACTGTTTCGCAAGTTGCCTTGAAGGTAGGCTGGCAAACGCAACAGTTCTTTTATCTGTTTGCACACCAATTACAGGTTGTTAGAGGTTTGGATACCAAATGTTTTGTTTTCCTCGTAACTGCTGCAGGCATTCGATGTGATCGAACCTGTCTGACTTTCTTGTTCTGGAGGCAAAACTGTGCAAAACAAATGTCGTTTAGGGTCACAGAAGACTGCGTGGCCACAACTGTGCTTATGAACAACAAAGAAAGTTATTAGGAAAAGTCCAGGTCAGTTCTGGACCCAGAATCAGTTGAACATTCAAGTTTCATCTGACAAAACAAACTCACTTCATCTGTGGCAAGACATTTTTAAGCATAAAATGAAAAAAATAATGCTCTTGTTACAACAGGATAAAAGTCGCAGCAAAGTCTTGCTTTAAAGTTTATGCTGTGAGTGATGTAAAATGCTGGTCTAACGTAGAGCGAATGTAAACCTGTGTGTAGCTATTAGTCTGTAGGTGTAACTGTTGTTTGTATTATTAGTACTTCTTCAGCAGGAGAAGATAACAAAGGAGATTCAGATTTCCCAGCAGGGGAGTGCCATCACTCCCCTGCTTTGTTTTGTTTTGGTGACGTAGAGAAAGGTCGCAGCATGTTTGACAAAGTCCTCACGAGTTACCCAAAACGTACCGACCTCTGGTCCAGTTTCATCGACCTCCTGGTCAAACACGGATCACAGAAGGATGTCAGGGCGCTCTTTGATCGAGTGATCCACCTGAGTGTTTCAGTGAAGAAGATTAAATTCTTCTTTAAGCGCTATTTGGAGTATGAGAAGAAGCACGGCACCCCGCAGAGCATCCAAGCAGTCAAAGAAAAGGCTATGGAGTTCGTGGAAGCTAAAGGCACAGAAGCTGCCAAGTAAAGACCAATTATACAGTCACACACACCCTGTTGTGTATGTGCGTAAAATGCAATGTGCCACACTTGATTTACAACACATTTGTGGCTGCAGATTCTTATACAGGTTCCTCCTCAACGTGATAATGACGTTTGCTTGTAACTATAATTGTGATGATTACGATTGGGTGATTTTTATTTATCCATTTTAAATTTTTTTTTTATTTTTACCAGTCCCCTGTCTTTTAGACTGCTTGCGACTGGTTGCAGAAAATTAGGCCTCATTCACTGTGGTTGAAAGTTGATAGAAAGGATTGTCTAAAACACTTTACTAGAGCACCTGACAAATAGTTTTACTTCTGCTGTGCTGTTCAAAGGAACAGTTGACCCCCTTATCAGTGTGATCATCCGGCCTTGAAAATCTGTATTTAGCCACAAGAGTATTAAGCATATTCTTGTATGCATATTATATTGCTATTCTATCTCTGTATCCACCCATCTAGCTACCGACCTAGCTTTTTTCTACAGTGTAGTTATTTGTTTGTTTAATTAATCAATACATGTATTTATTGATATACTGTATATATGTGCAACCATTTAAAACTGGCACAAATATTGTCATTAAAGTTATGTTGCAATAGACAAAGCGCACAACTCCAGTTGTTTGAAGAAAAGTTTATTCAATTTTGCATTACAATAAAATGTCATCATGACTTCCTTGTCATCTCTTAGCGTCCATTAATGCCTTTGAGCTCGAGTAAACATCTGTGCCTTCTTCAGAGCAGCTGTCAGGAGACGCTTTTCTCTTTCACTCAGCGGATTGTTAGCTGAGGTCATTCATAGAAAGGGCAAGCAATACACCGATCGCATCAACAAATTCTTTGAAATCCACCCTGTTGTCACCGTTTGTGTCCAATGCTGTCATGAAACCGTCCACGCCTTCCGGGTCAGCTGGGTTCTAAAGTTTAGAAAAGTGTTAGCAAGCATGTAGACTGATAATAAACAACCTTTAAACTTTTGCATTATTCTATTTGTTAGGTCTTCATTTTAAGCTTTATTTACATACACACAATACATACACCACACTGTAATATTTGTACTGTACATTAGTTACTCTCTTAGTACAAAGCT